TGATAGAGAGGGGCAGTTTGCTTGTGATTCAGGTGTCGGACTTGCAGTTAGGAATCCACAGAAGTCTCTTTCTGAACTGCCTCAATGCTCATGAGGATGGAGGCACCCATGTCTTCAGCGGTAATGTTCCCTGTGTGCCTGAAGTTTCCTTGCTAGGCATGATCACCCAATTGGTTGAATATTTGACTATGACCCTTTCACATTCTCAGATAAGGTGTTTTTTGAAGAAATCCCATGTGAAGTCCAATTGAATAGGAATTCTGTAGGTGCGCTGAGCACAAAAAGACTTTTGGCTAGCAGCTGGAGTCACCTTCACGTACATACAGCATTAGAGCCACCCCTTTTACAGAGCATGTTTTAGCCTACTGCTCAGAAAGCATGTGTGCAGGAAAGAGCCCAGATGTAGTTTCCTCTGCTGAAGTTGTTCAACTGAACATCATAGCAGTGCGGAATAGGGCTGGGGTAGGGCTAGGACATAGCGCTAGACTTTGACTGAGCGTTATGTAGTACTCTGTTTGAATCTGTGCAGCCAAGAATATAATATTCCTGGATCGAGAGATAGAGAGCATTTATATAGCTCTTTGTTGAGGGCACTCATTATTTGCAGACGCAACTTTAACAGTGTGACAGAATAGCTCAATAACTCCAACACACTTTAATAGCTAGTGTGAAGTACTTTTTGAGAACATGGAAAATTCTGAGAATCAAAAACTTTATTTTCTTTCTTGATCTAGGTCTATTTCTAGCCTGGACATAAGCACAAAATAACCCTTTACATGAAAGAAAAATGTTCAGCAAACAGGCAAAACTAACAGAAGTGAGTTTAGTAGTCAGCCCAAGTCAAATGCAGAAAATCTTTATTCTGATTTCAGTAGAGCTGTTGTAGCAAGTGTGTTCAAGGTTGAAACCTGAAATGTTCATAAAAACTATTCTTAACAACTACATGACATAGCTTTCCTTTTTTATTGTCGTAATCTGTTTATCTGATCCTGATTATATATTCATTTCACATGGCTGTGCTCAAATGATGGAAAACAGAACTTTTCTTATTAAATGTTTTCAAATTCTCTTTTTTAAAGAAGGAGATGTACTTTAAATGCCATTATTCTCTTTAATTTGTTTGCATAAGATATTTATGTTCTATGTTATTATCACTTAAAATCAATATAGGATTTTTTTTTAGTACAACCCTCAGATTCACGTATAATGATTACTGCACTACTATGTCTTTTTCATTTATTTTGATTGTAAATCAAAACAAAATGGAAATGTAAAAGAAAACAGTAGATTAAATAAATAATAGAAATGCATGTCTCTTCAAGCAAGCATTCTCAGAGAAGAAAAGCAATAGTTCAAGCATCCTGATCACAGAAAATCCTGATGTTTATTTTTAAGTTAAAATCAGATATAGAAAGATGATTTTGGTTAGTTAAAACCAAATTCTTATGATGCAGATAAAGCAGTAGCTGACTGTTTGGAAATACATCTATTGTTTTTTTAGTAACATTACTTGTGGAGAAATACTGTAGAGAGTTTTATCTTAAAAATATCCAAATCTGATCCAAAGTCCTGTCTTGCACATTATATACTAGTGACAGTGCCTTTAAAATGATTTACTTTTTACATAGTAGACTGACTATGCTGATTCTAGTACGGAGAGACTATTGAAGTCAGAAGAGATCATTTTCCCTTTACCTATTGAAATTTGTGGGGGTTTTTTTTGCAAAACTTCATTAACACTACACATGGGTTCTTGCATACACAGCAAGGAATATGAATGCTTCAATCGGATTGAAATTTTTGCTGTTTTCTTCGCACACAGCTATGGTTTTCCACAGCAACATTCTGCTTAAGGAAAACAGTGCATTTGGTTCAGAGGATAGCATGAAAAATACATAGGATACTGTATTTATGTGTTTATGTATGAAAGAACCTACTTCACTTGCCTGTGAAGAAACTAAGAAAAAAATTTAAATTCATGAATTTCCTGTGGCTTGTTTTTGAAAAACAAAACAATTTCATTTTGACAAGCTAGTGAAATGTTTTCCAAGAAACAAACCAGTTATGCTTCTTCAGTTAGTCACAGTGCAATCCACAAAGGTAAATCCAAGTTTGACTTGATTGGACAAAGAACATAGTCTTCTATAATTATAATGAAACATTATTTGTTCACTTTTGCCAATTATTGTGGAATCAATTTCTATTATTTTATCATTTATATCTTAGAAAAATTCATAGATGTACTGTAATAATCTTCCTTACTCTACCATCAACAGTGAGTCCATCTTTTGGCACATAAAAGGTAGTGTGCAATATGCAGGTACACCCATAGCTGGTACTTCCTTGTTAGCTCAATGGGATAAGTTTTCACGTTCTCAAGAGATTGTTCTGGGAGAATAGTCAGGGCGGCCCAGTGTTTCATTCATGTCTGTACTGACAAAATCTCCCTCTAGACAAAGATATTTCCAGGCTCACATCCAAATTTGTTCAGTTTGCAAGTTTACCCTGAAGTGTTTAGGATATTCTGTTTTGCTGGGTCTGTGTATAAGGCTAAAAATCTCAGTTTAATAATGTCGTATGATTCGAAGCTCACCTGGTTCTTTTGGAATGAGTGACATTCTCAGTTGTACCACACTTGAAGGTTGTATGGACTGTGAGCTGATGGCGGTCACAAACAGTGAATTGTTCCAGTATTTATCCTAACTGCAAACTGGATGTTATCGTTCTCATACAAGAAACATTGCTCCCACTGCATAGCTGTACAGATCTGATTCTCTTTAGAGACTCAGACTCCAGACAGTCCTTTTTTACATCAAAGTTGTCCTATGGAATACGAGCTACTAATAGAAAAGAGGAGCCTTATATTTCTTTAATGACCTACAGTGACCTAATGACAAAATAAATATGCTATGAGCTTTCTTTAGAGAACTCCAAAGAGTATATGTAAATGTTACTTATATTTTTCTTGGATTTTTTTACTGGCATGTATGTGCATATTTAATTTGTATATTTGAGATTATCTTCCTAATGTTCACTGAAAGGTGAATTTGTAGATTAAAACTCACAATAATTTATTAGTTTATGCTTCTATAGCTAATGATACTGATGACCAGAAGCAGCCCTATCCTTGATGTCTAGGCACTTGCTTACATTGTCATAGCTTATATTTATGATGTGAATGAAGTGCGACTCAAGCCCAAAGTCAGCTACCAACCACAGTGCTGCCAGTCAGAGCTAAGTTGTGGAGCACTACGTAACAGAACATCTATCCATGTAAAGGCGATTGAGTTTAGGCCTAAACTATCCTTTACCCAGCTACCTTCTGCCCACAATTTCCAAAGATATCCAGAATTCCCCTCTTCTTAGGCTTAGCTTTGTCTAGCTAAGCAGTCACCAGTATTAGGCACAAAAAGCACAGGTCATAGGGCTCAGCCTGCCTGTGCCCGCTCAAAAACTAGTGGTATAAGTGTTGTTGTGTGAGCAATTCTGCCTTCAAGAAGGCGTGAGAAATAAGAACAGAGGCCACCCTGTGATGTGCTAGTAGCTGAGCTCTGTGGGGACTGACAGAGAATCAGGAGGATTGATTGGGTCTGTGTATAGGAAGCCAGAGGAGGAAAGAAGGGATAGAAACAGAGGAAATGGCAGGAAAAGCGTTTGAAATATGGCTTGAGGAAAAGGCAAGAAAGGGGGAGTTTTTGGACATAGTGTTAATTTTGAAACCATGAGCAAAGAAGCTATGTCCGGTTGTTAAATTTCATTGCATTTAGTGAAACAAGATTCTGCGGGCTTTGTGGTTTTTTGGTGAACAAATAAAATCGTATCAAAGAATTGGTCAATTCTATCATCATTTTTTCCTCCTAACTGAATCATCCATCCCTAGTTATTATCGAAATGTTCCTTTCTACTACCAGCCAAAAAAACCTGAACGTTATAGAACGTGGATTGCTTTTTACTCATGCATACTGTTTATTTCCTTGTAACATATCACACAGGCCACACACACTGTTTCACTGTCTGTTTTACTAGAGTTGACACAACCCTTGTTCTTACAGGCAATATTTGAATTAAGTGAAGCTGCTTCCTATCAATTATTTTATTTAAAACATTTCTGAAATAGTCTATCCTTAGTTTTAAGTACTTTCCCTGCTTTACCCAATCCTATATTTAGGCCTAACTTAAGTGATGGTGTCCTTTTAGAATATAGGACATAAAGCTGCTGGTAAACGTCATTCATATACTTTGGAAGCTCGGACATAATTATCCGTAGCACCTACCTGCTCTCAGCTGCCTGCTTTGTACTAAGCTGTACTGAGATTTTCAAGGTGTAAAGATAAAACTGATCTTACAATTGGCATCTGTGTTTTCTTGCAGTGTATCCACCCAACAAAACACTAAGAATAACAGGTTCTCCAAAAGACATCTTCCAGGGAAGAAAGGGTCGAGGGGATGGGATTTGGCTGAAATAAAAGAACAAAGAAATGCTTGTAGTAAAATAAAAGAGCAAAGAAATGCTATTTGATTACCTTATTCTCGCATTCTTCTAAAATATGGTTATGATGTCCACATTAAAAGAAATTACTTTTCATATGCTGATTTATAACAGTTTACTCTCAAAAAGTTCTTTCATGGTGGTTCCAATAAAAGTATTTAACAGAGAGGAAGGTTTCTGACTTCAGTATTGGCAAGCAAGAAATCAGAGTCATATTCTTTAGGTGCATATAGTCAAGCCAGTTTGTTGCACGTTTATTTATCAGCCTGTTCATTCTGAGCTTTCTCTGGCATCAGTTAAAGTTAGGAGAAAAAAAAAAACCAAACCTTTTTGACCTCCTTGCCTTTGGATCAAACACATTAAAACTCAGTTAAAGCCCTGAGCATTAGAGATTGTTGCAGGAGCCTTCTTAGTTTTAAACAGAATGTTCCTTAATGAAACAAGTATCTGACTTTAACTGCTGCTTGTTGCTTGTTTAGAACAGAGTCATGTTTTTCACCTCTCTTTGCAGGTGGCCATTGATGAGCGCATCAGGCAACTGCATGAAGCTCACAGGGATTTTGGCCCTACTTCCCAGCACTTCCTTACCAGTGAGTAATTTCCCATTTTTCCTGCTCAGCTTGCACAAACAGTGAATTGATATGTTTTATAGCCACGTGTCAGCTATGGTTGCTTTCAGTTTTTGTTTTAAACCACATACATTACAATGTTTTTCTTTCCTTAAATTGCTTGGAGCAGAAAATTGCTAAAGAAGTTCGTATAGTCCAGAGCAGAAGGACTGTATCTACCTGTATTAAGTTCGTTTGCCTATGCATCCATCAATGCAAGGTTGTTTAAAATTTTAAGTAAATACTATTTGGTACTTAGTATTTTACTAATCCTAATAAATTAGGTAATTAATTTTCTATATATCTCATTTTGATAGAATCAGATGAGCTTGTGATATGCAGTATATAAAGACGATCATAGGAGCAGTATGTGTGTCTCTATGTCGTATCAGACAATTAGGTGAATTAACAAAACAAAATCTTCATGCTAAGGATTGACATTCATCTATTAGCACAGTTTCATGACTATATTAAGGATTAAATCTAACCCACAAAAGCCTCTGTTTTGAACACGCAATTCTTTTGCCTTGAGGGAAAAATATACACACATACACCATGAAAAATTGAAGCATATTGCTTGCAATAGCTGCTTTAATACTCCACAGAAATAAAAAATTCATAATCCTCACTACCTACTGTACTTGTGGAAATTAATAATAAATTAATAAAAAAACAGCTGGATAGTCTAGCCAGGTTTTCGTGGTGACAATTTATGTTTTTATTATTGTAGAAAGGAAGCAATACTACTTATTTATTGTTGGACCATTTTACTTAGGAAGGAAGCCTGGCAAGGTGAAGCCCAGTTAAAATATATAATGTTTGATTGTCTGTTGTTTGACTTTTGCTTAATCCACTGAAGATACTTCTGAACCAGCCACCAAACAGCTCTTCATCTACTTTGCTTAACTTTAGCTTAGTTATTGTCTGCAAATCAATATTAATAAACTGATGGTATGACTTTTGCTAGGCAGAGATAGAATCTCTTCATGAACAGAGATTTTTAAAACAACATAAGATATAGGTTCTTAGATATTCTCTGATTCAAACAGAAGCTATTTCGGAGTAGTCCTAAAGGACTTTTAGGTAGGAAGTTAGCTTAAACTGTTGTTGCGGTTCTGTATGCTATTAAGTACGTATTTATTATTCCTCTTTACTTCTAGTTATCTAGATATAATGGCTAGATCAATTTATTTCTGTAATTATTGTATTTAATTCTCATTGCTCTGTTGCATTGTATTAAGATTTGGGATATAAAAGGTGGGGGTTTCAGACTACTTTTTTTCTCTAAAGGAGACAGAAAACTTTCTCTAGTTTACTTAAAGTTAAACTCACATTATTAAGAGATTTCTTCTATACTAACTAAAACATGTAAGCCATGAGAGACAAGAGGCATAAATTGAAACAAGGGAGGTGCAGGCTGGAGGTAAGGCGAAACCTCCTCTCCGAGGCCAGCAGGCGCTGGTGCCGGCTGCCCCACATGGCCGCGCAAGCTCCATTCCCGGCGGTTTCGGCCCCGGCTGGTCAATGGCCCATACCAGCCTGGGCCGCTGAGGCCGCCCGCGATTCCTGGCAGGAGCCAGGCTGGAGACTTCCTGAGGTCCCCTCTAACCTGAATTATCCTGTAATCCTATGTGATAAGCACACTTTGTTTATTGAGGGGCTGGTGAAAGAAAAACAGATGCAAAACTCCATTCCCACCCGAGTGCAATGTGCATCTTGCAGAATTTGTCTCTGTCAGACTTTTTCCACAAATTTTGATTTATACTGTTTACAACTCAATTTCGGTTGATCTTCATGCTGGGAACTTCGACAAATGTGCTTTATTTTATTAACTGGAATCCAGTTTAAATTTAATGGACTAAGTCTTGCAGTTTTCTTCAAATTGCAGGACTCATTTTTAATAGAAAAAAAAAAAGTAGACATTACTTACAAACTCTTAAAAGGAGATTATTGGAGCTGTAGCATCCATGACTCCTTACACACTTGGTTTACCTGTTCCAAATCAGAAATACTCAGCCCCGAGAAGAAATAAAGCCTGGCAAGAAAAAATACTTTTGGTTTTGCAGGATTTGACCACTAAGCAGAGCAGCAAAGGGATCAAAAGCATAGTGGAAAAGTTGGCATAAGGACCGCAATTAAATAAACTTTTATACAGCTCTGCATAAAATGTAATTGCCTGTAACATTCCTACCCGACCTCCCCCACACCACAGTTTCATCAAGGATATTTTGAAGTACACTGAAAGACAACTTGAAACACCTTCAAAGCTCCAAGGCAGTGGCTAAAATGAAGCTTCCTAAATGCCGTGTCTTTTCTATTGTACTTCAATTAGATAAAGTAAACATTAGAACTATTTAAGAGATTATATCAGCAGAAGAGAACAGGCGCAGGATAATGGTCTCCTACGTGCAGAGAGGCAACCTATCCAGGCATTTATCAGAAATAGATGTTACTGTTATCTTATAGCTGCATTCACAGTGGAGGAGAGATCAAACTCTTTTTCAACTGATACTGCATTGTAATTTTGGATAGAAATTGTTTTTAATTAGTAAACCATTTTTTCACTGATAAAAGCGTCCTGCCCACAGAGTGAGAAAAGCAAAGGGGAAAAATCAGAAGAGTGGAAACCTCGATGGGGTGAATTGTAAATTCAAAACAGAGTCTGCGTTTGCTGTATCAGCACAGTGCAGGCTAGCAATAGTTCAACTCTGCATGTTCTTTTATCAAAAAATGAGTCTTTGGAAAAATAGCCTTATTTTTGTAATTTCTGCTAAGTTTTAGAAATCTCTTTCAGTTAACTCTTAGTTCCTGGGAATAATTCATCAGTGCAGTATACTTGACTGCAAGTCAGATCTGCGAGGATGGAGCATGAGAGAAGTGTAGGTATATGACATGCATGCAATACGTAAGCAGATGCCTGTTTTTCTTATGTGATATACAATTGATTTTAGGGAAAAATCCTCAGAGAAAGAAAAACAATGAATTGTAGTGTATGTAGTAAGCAAAATTATATGATAATCTTCAAGAGAACCTGGAGTTCCAGGTCACCAGAGTGACCTGGACTGTATTATTACGCTGAACACAGTGTTGTTCTCTGTGCTTCTGCTGCAACAGCCAGGCATCTTGTGTGACCTTTATGTCCTAGACCCATTCTGCCTTATTACTGATAAAGTAGATCAATTTAAAAGTTGCTCAGTTTTAAGATAGCCACCTCTTTCAGCCCGCCAACAATTAGTGGGACATGGAGATGATATGTTCTTCTATGTTCTAGCCAGAGCCAGCAAAGAGTGGAAAACATTCTGGTTGCTTTTCACCACTGGAGGATTACTTTAGGAAAAGGAGCTAGGTCAAAACACATTGGGTCTGAAAACAGCCAAAATATTGAGGAAGAATGGACATATGTGTAGTGTATTTGTTTGCTTGTTCTCTTTCTCTTACATCTAAAGAGAAGTTAAGTAACTAAAGCACTGAAAATATCTATAGAATCTGTCCCAAACGTAATTGTTCAGTCGCTGAAAATTGCCAGTGCATCTTTAAGTCCCATGTTTTGTAAGCATCAGGTTCCAAAAGCATCGTACTCCTCAGTATCATATACTATTTTACATGCTTTCCAAGTAGCACCTCTGCTGCAACCCTGAACTGATGGAAGCATATCTGTTGGAGAGGTAGCTCTTCAGCAGAGATACTGCCAGCGCCTTTGCCATCCAGCATTAGTGTTATTTTTAATATCTGTACTTTTGGGGATGAACAGATCAAACATAAGGATTGCCAACAGGAACAGGGCAGGTCAAATGAAAATGGATTAATGGCTTGTAAATGATCTTTCAGTGCAGCAACGGCAAATGGAATCCATGTTGGATCAGTCTAGCAGTGACAACAGCTCGGAAAATAAAATGAATCCTGATAATTCCGCTCTCTGGACTTATTTTGTAAGTTCAGCTCACAAAGTGTTTTGAGCTAAGGAGCTAAGATGAACATTAAATCAATGCAAACTGCTTTAAGTAAGGAAAATTCCTTGGATATTTCATACCCTTTCTTATTTATTCTCCAGCCACAATCAATTCATCCCTCAAATTCGATATCAACTTTTCCCCTACCATCCATATTTGTTCTTCTTGAGGTACTAGTGATGATCAGCTCCAACTGTGTTTGTATACTTACTTAAATTAAATTTTGGTTTTTTTTAGAGGTGTTCTGCCTTCTTACGTAGTTCTACAAAAGGGTTGGTATTGTAGTTCAAGTTTTCATAAGAAGCAGCAACTGAATTATATTTCTCTCCTACTTGGAAGAAATAAACGTATCAGCTGCCAATCGGTGGTAATGGCTTTTATAAGATTGTTATTAATTTGTACATAGAAATTACAGCATCATCTGTCTGCTTGTACATGGCTGGAACTAAAGCTGCATAGGGCTGTTGGAAACCTGGCACAGAAGTAATGGGGGGGGTGAAGTCAGGACGTCAGATTTACCATGTTCTGTGCAAGCCGGGTATCAAGTGTTAGTTGCCATCTCTAAAAAGCAATGATAAAGGAGCCAGCATCCACTTGGGTTCCACTTGGTTATCCATCAAGGCTTTGGGCTCCCACCAGCTATAAAGAACTCTCAGTAAAACTGGCCCTTACTTATCTGCTAGTACATGAGCTCTCCTCCCCCCAGGCCTCCTATACCTCTTTGCTGGGCTCTTTCACCTCAGCCCTTGATTTTCTGATCAGTCCTTCATGCTTCCTTAAGCTTTTTTCACTCTGCCAGTCTCCACAGAATCACAGCTTTTCCTCAGTTTATCCCTTGCCACCTTACCAAGGACTGAGGCTCTCAGCATTATCAGAAATAGTTGTGAAGATATAGCTTAATAAATGGTATTATGCATGCAAGACATTGTATCATGAACATACGGAAGGAGCTTATAGTTGTTGAAAGTTTTGCTGTTCAATTGCAAGGATCTAAATCAGTGTGTGAAAAAGCTGTGAAATTTCTCCTTTCTG